CTTGTCCAATATGACCCAGTTAGCTACATTCCTCTTTGCTTCAGCTGCCACAGAACCTGCAGATTGAGCTGAGACAACCTTGATTTGCACTCCAACCTACAACCAACAACCAGTCTTAGAAAGCTAGTGTTGAGTAACCCAATTTTTCTTGGTTCATCACACCTGGTTTCGTATGCTAACTGTTGGTTGAAGTCAATAGATAAACAATTGCTCCTTCACAAAAAAGAAAGAAGAGAAAAAGTTCCATTCATCACTAACTATAATTACAAAACACCATATCATGACATTCACGCCTCAATTTTTGTCCGAATGAAATCTGCAAAGGGGTTGACTGAATAACTATTGAACTCCAATATATGAGATAGATGGAACGAAAAAAGAAATATGTCCACAAAACAGTGATAATGACTGTTAGCCGCAATGGATTTCCTTCATGTTGTGGGGGACGCTGGGACTCTTCCTGCCTAATAACTTCCCAAAAATCATTTTCGATCCATTTCCTTATAGCAACTCCACAAACTATACACAGTAGTTTCCACTTGATGGAGGAGGGTTCACAAGGTGATAAGGGGTTCCCTGGATCAAGACAGGGAGGGGTGTTATGGCTTTTAAAATACAGTTGCTTTATTTTCATTCTTCGTCAGGGCATGTTTCTTTTATGTTTGCAAAATGTGCTTCCGTCCATTTGTCATTTGGCACTTCAGTTTGTTACACTGACAATATGTCGTCTTCGCATTGTTTTGGCTGTTGCCAAAATTGGACTGCTATTTCTTTTATTTGATACGTTTACACATTGAATATACAAAATCTGAGAATTCCCTCTCCAAAGTTCTTCCGTTTATTGTCTGTTTTGTGAAGAAATCTTTCTATAGATCATTTCCTAGGAGTTGAATTGTGTTTAATTAATTGACTCCTATATCACCACTGTTCCCAAATATACAAGAAGCTCACTCGTCTTTACTTTATCAATATTCTAGCATCAAATTAGTCGATTTCTTCTGTAGATTACGAAGTGCATTAAATTCAATTCACGATAGCACCAATCCCTCAATGTAAACTAGTGATCCTCAGATCTAAGAAGAATCCTTTCTTCAGCTATCTTTGGAAATTAGCTTCCACTTTCAGTCTCTCCTCACCTTTAAAACTCTAAAATCAATGTTCCACTGAAGTATGTCATTCTTCAAAAGCATTATTGATACTCAATCATTTAAGCTAAGTATACACACTAAAAGACTGTAGATGATTCAAATCAGTCACTAATAATGCAATGCCAATCCTTATCAATTCCAAGGCACATGCAACCCTCTAATAACATTATTATTTAAAACTTATAATTATTATTAATACCTTAACATGATTAGAATCTTCCATTACCCCAATAATATAATTCACTTTCCAGAAAGTAGAATCAATAAGATCTCATTTTAATATACAATAATTTGCTTCAATTCCTAGAAATTCGTGTCACGTTACCGAAAGCCAAAGTTAACTGCTTTTTTTGATTGCCTTTAAAATTCCGAATTAAAGCAGCGAACTTTTGACTTTTATGAATGCCAAATCACCAAATATAGCACAAAAAGTTATCAATGCTATAGAAAAAGTCAAATACAAATGCAAAAGGTGAATTTTTTCTACCTGAATTTGACCGTGAAATTGGAGAACCATCTGAGAACAAGACTCTGAGATCTGTCCAATCCTATCCCGTAGATTATTCCGGTCAGCACTCCGACACTCCCCTTTCAACCTTGGAAACCCCCAAAATCTCCTCCCAGCTGAAAGTGAAAAGACGGCATCAAATTACCGTTTAAACAATAATTCTGATTAACGTTAACACACACACACCATATTCGTCAAAAATTTCTCAAGATCTTTCAGAATTTCAGTATAGTACTACGAGCATGAAATTCCTACATAGCAAATTAGTACTTACAGCAGAACATTAACTGGCGAATTAAACACAAATTACACTAAGAAAATTGAAAATTCTATAAGTGACATATAAAAAGAATTCTTCCAGGGATAAGGCGAGTTTACCGGTCATCTTCTCGGAGAAGACGGCGAGGAGAAGAATGCAGTCGCCCGGCCGGGCCACGTGTGTAGTGGCCCAAGACAATGCAATATTGGAGATCACCTTCTCTGCTTTCACCGCCACGATCACATTCCGGGAAGTTGCGTCAACGCCACATGATGGCATGTGAATGGTTCCTTGGGGTTTTGGCGGGAACATTTGGTAACGTCAACTTGTCGGGGAGTGTACGAGCAGGCTGCGAAAAAGTCTGAACGGAGAAATGTTTGTGTGTAGAAATGTTGTTGGAGTTTTATGGAGACAGATTTGGCGTTTTGTCAAAATTGTATGGGGTTAAAATTGGAATTTGATACAAAATGGGGAAATGTTGTAAAAAAAAAAAATGGAATGATTCGTTAATCGAATATAATATTGATATAATTATTGACATAAGGTAACATTACATTATTGAAATATTTTAAATACAATCGACTTTTTATCAAATCATCTGTTATCATCTCAGATTATGTCATTGCATTTGTTACATTTCTTATGACAAAGTGGCAAAATCCATATTTGTAATTATCGTTAGAATTCTATATATGAGTTAGCAAAAGTGATCATTCTTTGCTTTTCAAAATAAAAGGATAATCTTATTTTAATGCTCTAAAAGAAACTTTATGCTCTCATCTATATTTCAGAAGAAATTTGGGTTGATGTTCCAAAAAAAAGTTCCCCTATTTATATTACTATCTAAATATTTAAGAAAAATATTATTATTTTTTATTTATAAAGAAATCAAAATTTTGTAAAAACCAATATTGTAGAATTACATTGTAAAAGATTAGGCATTTGATTAGGAAAATATGTAATTTGTGTGCTACTGAGCGTAGGGCTGAATTTGTAAAAGATATTAAAAGGGACTGTAAATAGGTACTGATTCATTCTAGTGCATTGAAATCATAATCCACATTAACTTGAGCTTCAACGAGAAGTAGCCGAAGGTAAGGCAAAGGGGTTGTGTACCTTCATAGCAGAAGTCGTTGATGTTTTCTTGTTTTGTTGATGTACGTTGTAATTGTTAGTTGTCGTGGTTTTGGTTTGATTGATGTGCAAATAGAAACCCTAAAAGTGACATCGAAGCATTTATTTGAGGGTCCGATGGACAGAATTGGTGATGATTCTTGCTTCAAGAAATGAAGTGAAAATCATTTTCTTAGGCCGAATAGTAGAAAAATAGCAATTATTATCTCCAAGGGTGAAAAGTGGAAACCCTAAGGCGATATTCAAACAGAATCTTATGTTGCTAGTCACACCTAACGAACGCCGAATGTTTGCCTTGTGAAATTTGATTTGTCTTGAAATTCTTGGAAACAAACTGAATATGTGAGTTCTTGAGTCTAATATGAAAAGATGGGAACTAGTAAATTTGAATTTGAGCTTGAGACCTCGGCTCTTATGGAAGGGGGATTTCTCTATTTGTCAACAAACAGTAAATAAACATATAAATTAGTAGGATTTTGCTATTCGTATAGAAAACTCTATTTGTCAATAAACAGTAAACAAACAGATAAATTAGTTGGATTTTGCTATTTGTATAGAAAAAAGGGCCAGAAGAAGTGACCAAAATGATGCGAAGGAAAATATTGAATGAAAAAACTGATTATATTTTAAATTGATGTACATGTTCAACTCTCTGTTACACAAAATCACTACTGAACAAATTTATTTGTTAAAGAAGTTTTCGTTTTAAGATGGATCCTTATACGTGGATCTTGAAATAAATTTTGATAGTTTTTTTCATATTTAAGTCAAGATTTAGCCAATTATGGTGAAAAGTTTTCTGATGAACATCGTGTTGGGCTTTGTAGAGCCTAGTTTTATTTGATCCGATTGACGAACCGACCCGACCTGACTCGAATAATGTTGCGTGATTTTTTAATGGAAGATTTTCTAAGATTTAGTTCATGGAGCGGACGCTTGGGCAGATTGTGAATCCTTTGTGTAGGATATAAAAACGAAGTTTTGATGATTATGGTTCTTGATAAAAAAGAGAGAAAATTTATGGTCACACTTTTGTGTTTCTTACCGATTGGGAATTTTGGGTTGATTCCCTACCCATCGAGCTATAATTCTATTAATATATCTTTATCAGAAACTTGTAAGAAATGGACAGAAACTCTTCGAGCAGTGAAATAATGACTAATTATCTTATAACCAAATCTAGATGTTAAATGAATGTCACCCACTAGACAAAATGAAGTCATGACAACAGCTAAGAGGAAATAATTAAAGAAAGGTGGGGGAAGATGTAGGCCATGTCAATTTCTTTTCTCTGTTAAGTGTACCATCAAAAAGAATAGCTGGACCTTGAAACTAAGGGCGTGTGTCGTAAAAATTCTCATTTTCAACAGTAAATCAATTCTCATTTTCAATCACACATTCTTCAATAAAATAATATTTTCTATCACATCAATAATATTATCTTCTTTTTCAACCACACATTTCCCATCATATCACTTATTCTCATTTTCAACCACATATTTTTCAATAATATAATATTTTCTATCACATCAATAATCTTATCTTTTTTTTCAACCACACATTTCCCATCATATCATTATTCAAAATCAATTCTTCCCTCAAAAAATCCCTACCAAACACACACTAAATGCCCTCGGTCAAACGCACGCGCACACACACATATACATATGGACATGCACATAAGTCCATGAAAGAGATGCATGGAAATTGATGAATGGATGAGATTTCATCAAAATGATAAACGGATGAGATTTTATGATGAAGACTTGTCCTATGCATATACAGTACCTTAGTTTAAGGGGAAGATGATATATTGTTATCACGACAGCTCTCACAAACTGTATGTGATTGGAATTATAATGCAATTAATGGCATCATTCTTAGTGGTTCAATCCATTCACCAATTTTCATGAATTGAAGTAGCCATAATTAGTTCTTTTCTTCTTGTGAACAGCTGAAACATGACATGTCGTGGCATCAAAACCTCAATTTGTGCTCGATATATAGCCATCCATACACTAATAATTAACATATAGGTTCTCGAGAAGAGAGTGGTCCGCCCTCAACTGAGTGCAAATATCTTATGATATTACACAAGAATGTCAACTTGTTGGCTGACTTACAAAATTATGCATGTTTTTTTAGCAGTTTTAAGAAATACAGTACTTTGACAACTTTATCCTATCCAAAATTGCGATTGAATCATATCATTCAAAAGATTTGGACGCATCATGAACTCGTGTGCAATTTCATTTTAATCTCTATCTAAGACTCCCTAATTGTAGTGATTACTTGATATGTGCATAAAAAAATTATGATTCGAAGTAAAGCTTGAAATAGAGATGGAAAAAAATCCGCCCCGCCCCGACGGGTTGGCAGGGCGGGGTGTGAAGAATTAAAAATAAAAAAAATTGTTTTGGACAATTTTTGTTTCGAGAACTTGCTTTGGATATTGATGTAATTAGTTTGAGCATTATCTGTTTTGGATTTTAAAATTTTGAATTTGTATTTTAACTAGAAATAAAAAATAAAAAAAAGGACAAGCTTGCGCCCCGCCCCGTCTAAGGCAAGGTGGGGCCTCACGGGGCTAAATTTTTTCCTTCCCCTTGTTCTTCTTGTCGAAATAATATTTCTGAGGTCGTACAAAATTTAGTTAATTACCATTTTAAAAAAATTCGAAGTCCAAGTTATGTGAAGGCTATTGTACAACAAAATAGACAATTTTATTGGAGGACTATAAAAAGAATAGGGAAAAATTCATGGATCAGGTATTTACTTTCACGAAATCACAAATCAAGCCCGAATGTTTAGATTTTCAAAACTCAGGTTTTTCCACGATTTAACTAATTATATTTAACAACTAATCTAATAAAAAATTTGTTTTAGACATTTTTTGTTTCGAGAACATGCTTTAGATATTGATGTAATTAATTTGAGCATTATTTGTTTTGGATTTTAAAATTTTGAATTTGTATTTTAATTGAAAATTTAAAAAAAAGGGCAGACCTGCGCCCCGTCTAAGGTAAGGCAGGGCGAGGAAGAGGTACCCCTCCCGAACTCGCCCCGTTGCCATCTCTACCTTGAAATATTATTATGGCAAGACGTACTTATATACTAGTATGGGAAAAAACTTATTTTGACTAATTTTTTTTCCTTCCCCAAGTTCTTCTTGTCGAAATAATATTTCTGAGGTCGTACAAAATTTAGTTAATTAACATTTTTAAAGAATTCTAAGTCCAAGTAATGTGACGGTTATTGTACAACAAAATAGACAATTTTATTGGAGGACCATAAAAAGAAAAGTAGAAATTACACAAAACCCTTCTTTTCAATATCCATTTTCAAAAATCAGACCACAAATTTCACTTTTCAAAAAACAGATATTTTATATTTATAGATTAAATATTAATTATATAATAATCATTTTAATTTCCAAACCCTAATCATTCACTTCTCTCCATCTTTCTCTGTCTCCTCGATCTACCTTCTCTCTATCTCCTCGATCTACCTTCCCACCGCGCCGTCCCACCTTCCCACTGGAACCCCCACCGATGCCGCACCCGCTATAGTAGCGGCGTCGAGCGGCGACGCCAAGGCAGCTTTGAACTCGCAGCAGCTTTGCCCGGTAGTGCAACGTTCAAGACCGCCACGCGTAACCTTTCGTAGGACTGTCGCACCCACGCCCTCCTTCTCTACATCGTGATTTTGTAATGGTTTTTGTTGGTGAGGTGGTGGTGTACAGTAGTGTTGAGGCTTGACTCCATGCCCGGGGAGGAGTAGTTGTTGATCTGTTACGGGTGTGTGCTGATTTGTTGCGGGCGTACTGGTTTTTGTGCGGTTCCGTGTTGTGGATGTAGGCATCTGTTGTGTATGCCGATCTGTGTGTTGTGTGTGTGATTTGTGTTGTTTTGGAGGTGGTGGCGATAGTAATGGGTGGTGGTGATGGTTGTTTGTGAGATTACGGGTGGTGGAGGTGGGTGATCTGTGGGTATGTGTGCTGATCTATATTGTTTTGTCGGTGGTGGCAGTGGAGTTGGAGGTGGAGCTGTGCGGCATCGTGGCGTGGTAGTGATGACTGGTGGCAGTGGAGGTGTGTGGCGGCGGTGTGTGGTGTGGTGGTGGGAACGAAGATTTCTGTTGGTACGGTGGAGGTGGAGGTGGAGGTGGAGGTGGATGTGGAGGCGTGCGGTGGTGTTTGGCAGCTGTGTCGTGGCGGTGGTTGTGGGTGGTGGTCGTATGTGACCCATTAGTTGACCTGTGAGTTTGTGACCATCTATTTGGTCACTTGTGACCAATTATTTAACTTTTGACCCTTCAATTTTGACAATTTGTGATCTTAAAATTTGAACTGTAACTCACAATTGATTAAGTTGTGATAAAAAAAATAAACTATGGCTTATAAAATTTTTGAATTGTGATCTTAAATAAATTTGTGACCTACAAAATTTTTGATTTGTGATCTTGAAATAATTTGACCTGCAAAATTTTTGATCTGTGGCCGATAAATAAATTGTGACCTATAAAATTCTTGAGCTGTGACCGTAAATTAATTTATAACGTAAAAAATTATGATTTGTGATCGAAAAATAATATGTGACTCACTAAATTGTGAATCTGTGACCATATTATATAAATCTGTGACGGTCACCGGAATCGAAAAATCAGTCGGAACGGTCGTTGGAAAAGAGTGGTGGCCGGAACGATCATCAGAATAGTCCCCGGAGCAGTAGGGGTGGTGTATGTGGGGTGGATTAATTATGTTATATTAGAATTAAATGTTTAATAAATTTATTTAATAATTTATTAATTCATAAATAAAAATTAAAAAATTTTTGATTTTTGAAAATTGAAACTTGTTTTCTTATTTATGAAATGACACATACTTAACATCTTAGAAATGAAATTTTCCCAAAAGAAAATCATCAGAAAATGCAACCACTGTATGAGGTCACCCCGTTATTCGGCCTGTCAGGGTTTTTGGACCAGCCACTGAAGCCCACCACAGCCTGTTCCTTTATTGGACTGGACTGGCTTTGACGAGCTTGGATAGCACGTCTATTTCGAAACTGCTAAATTCAAGATGTTAACCCTTGTTTGAGCCCATTTTGGTAAGAAAATATGTTTTGAAATAGTAACTTTTTGGAGAATGTGTGGTTAAAAAAGAAAGAAAAATTTTAGACTTACATGTAAAGTTATTTTATGGAATAATGTGTGGTTAAAAATGAATTTTGAAAAAATGGGAGCCAAGCATAGGTTTAATGCATATTTTCCATAACTTAAATTATAATTAATTATTGCTCAAACATATTTTAAAATACTCCCATACAAAATTTCATTTTTGTCCATGTTTGGTTATATTAAAATTTGATAAAAATCTTAAGTCAAAATCAACAATTAATTCTAACATACATTTCATAGAACCCACTTTTTTTAACCACATATTTCGTTAACTTTATCAAACCTTACTAAAAATCTGATTTTAATCTATGCTAAATAGGAGTTTTGATTTTATAAGTGGGTCTACCTATTGGCTGAGAAGGAAAAAACTGCGAAGGTTTCATGCAAAAAGTTTCAAAAGGAAGTTTGCTAGACTCTCCCATATGACAAGCAACACAAAACAATATTTTGTCATAAGAAAGTGTATCACAATGTGATTATACAGCGTTTATAATTTTGGCAGCTGGATGACTCAATCTTAAAAGGTAGATTTGAGTTTGAGCATTAATACAAGTTGATTGAAAATAAATTACAAGTGGTATCAGAACTAGACTCCAAACTTAGTTATGTGAACGCGCAAGACGAATCCCCTATTATAGTTTAACGAAGGTGGAGTACCTTGAATTGGATTGTGACGCTAGAAAAATCCATACTTGGCTCTTAAGGTGTTTGTGCATGGTGCTTTACACATTGAAAGAGTTCAGTCTTCAAGGAGCTTATAATCCTTTTTCTATCTAGGCAAGAGAGATGGATAGACTATTGTTTGAAGGGTGGTCGAGATGATATGGTACTTTATTCGAATGGAAGATCAATGTGCGAACACAGTCTCACATCAATAAAATCAGATGATGGACTTATAAGATATTATACTACTTCAACTAATTGATGAACCATTTAGATGGGACCCTAATTCCCTATCCACTCTACTTACAACTTTATTTTAATGTAGTGAATTTTATGCCCTTTATCCTAATTGACCTTGTTGACCATTCTTTTCAATATCAATACATTAAAGCTGGTACAATATTCAATAAATTTCAAACAAAACATATTTAAGTGGTAAACTGGTAATCATTCAATATAATTAATACAATACAACAGCACAATAAACTAAATATAGCTTTAGTACACAATATAGTTGCTTGTTAGCCTACTGGATAAACTATATAGGATCCTCATCCATAAGAGGAGATAATCTTGGAGTGGAGACAACTTCAAGTGGAGTGGCTTTATGGTTGGTAAGACCAAAGGTCCCAGTCATATCAACTGCTTCATCTGATGGAGTATTAATATCAAAACCATGCAAAAGACAAGCCAGTGTGAAAGTAACAATTTGAAGGGCAAAGCCAATTCCGGGACACACTCTTCTGCCACTACCAAATGGAAGAAACTCAAAATGTTGTCCTCTAACATCCAACTCCTTGTGAGTAGTAATGAATCTTTCCGGTCGAAACTCCAAAGGGTTAGGCCACACACTGGGGTCGCGATGAATTTTCCACAGGTTTACATAAAGGTGTGTGTATTTCGGGATGTGGTATCCACCAACTATGCAGTCTTTTAGAGACTGTCGCGGTGGAGGTGTCTGTGCAGGAGGGTATAGACGTAATGTTTCCTTGATTATGGCTTGAATGTATATTAAGTTGTCAATGTCTGATTCTTGCACTTGCCTTTCTCTACCAACATGAAGGTCTAATTCTTCTTGGGCCTTTCTAAGAGTGTGGCGATTGTTGAGTAGTAAGGATAGAGTCCATGTAAGAGTGACTGCCGTTGTATCAGTTCCTGCTAGCATCATTGCCTGCAAAGTAAATGAGACATGTTTGGCTATGCTTCAAAAATTTACTCAAAAGTAAAAGATTGATTTTCTTGATCTGGGAAACAAGATTACCTGACATGTTGCTTTGATGATTGTATCAGCATCAAACTCAGGGAACTGGGCAGCAACAGAATCGATAACACGAAGCATCTCGTCCATGAAGTCCATTTGTTCATCGTTGGCACCATTAATATCTGAATTCTTTTTCCTTTTATGATCCTCTAGCCATGTTTGCACCAAACTGTCCATGGCTTTAGCTGTCTTCTTCATATCATTTTCTATTCCCACAAAGTCCAACCACTTCAAAAACGGACGCACATCAGATAAAGTAAACAATCCTATCTTCTCGAAGAACTCCCTCATTGCCTTTCGCCACTTATCCCTTTCAAACAAATCAATTTTCTTTTCTATATTCCCTGCTATTATTCTAACCATCAAGTTCAGAGTCAGCTCCCCAAAATAGCTCTTCATATCTATAGGCATCCCATTTGAATCATAGACTGATTTTATCATTGCCCTCACCTCAGACTCATACACATCTCTAAGTTTCGCAATCCTTTGGCTGGACAGCAGCTTCAGCGTAGAAATCTTACGCAAATCGCGCCAGTATGGACCATACTTGTTGAAGGGAAACATGGCTAAATTGTAGCTCATGTGATGAAATGCTACAGTGTTCGGCCGGTTAGAGAAGGTAACATCATTTGTAGTAAAGCATTCTTTTGCTAGTTCCATAGTGCTCACAATTACGAGTCTGTGCTGGCCTAGCCGAAGAGTGAAAATAGGACCATATTTATCTGCTAGTTTTCCCAGGGTTATGTGTAATAGTTGGGGACCTCTTAATAGATGGAAGTGGCCTATTATGGGCCAACCACCAGCAGCTTCAGGGGGTAACTTTCTCTGATTTATTCGGTTGCTACTGGTTCTAATTTTTGCTATAGAGTAGAAACATAGGCAAAGTGTTATTACTCCGGCCAAGAAAGCTTCAATTAGTGATGGAAACATTTCCATAGATTTGTGTCGAAAACGAAATTCGAATTAGAATGAAGATTAGGCTTAAAAGTTTCTTTTATAGACGAGTGTGCCACCTATGTTCGATATAGACTTATAGATAAGATTATGATCCTATTACCTATGTTCTTACTCCTGCTGAATCAAATCTCGTAGAGAACTCTTCTGTTCCTCAACTGATATGCATAAGCATCTATAAATGGAATAAGTGACGGATAGATATTCAAATGTAACAAAATTAATGAGCAAGGCGACTAAAGGATATTGTGCAACAAGATTATCCATCGGAAAAAATGGATAAGGTTTGGTCGCCACTTCGTTTCCTTATTAAAGCAAATTGCGTCACCAATTCTGATACTGACAAAATTTTATATTATTTTTTTCCCCTCCTATCATGCCTGAAATTTCAGAACCGTCCTTTCCTGCAAACAAGATGGACAGTCGACTTTGTTCATACTCGTTTTACAAGCCATGAGAAAATTAAACTCGCTTTTCCCTTATCTAATAAAGATCATATTTTTGATCCTATTATGATGTAACTAATGACCCTATGTTGATATTGAGATTGAGTCATGGGTTTTAAATTGAGATTCAAATGAGTCCAAATGAAATCAGATGGATCTTTCCAAATTGTTGGATCCCTTTAGATTTTCCACACGTTCACTACAAGTGGCTGCTGGAACGCCGTAGCCAGCCACCGTGTAATCTCCCATGGCCTCTCGCGGTCCTCAAATCAGATCAACCAGATATAACCATAGGGTTTATTTGATAATGTCTTGAAGATGCACAGGGTTTTCTATATCTGATTCATCAACTTTCCTTTCTGCCCCAACATGAGAATCTATTTCTTCTTCAGCATTTTTTCAAAAATATTCTTGGTTGTTCAAGAGTAACAAAATAGCCAATGTTAGTGTGCCTGCCTATGCGTTGCTTCCACCAAGAATAAGTGTCTGGACACATTATCACACAAGCAATAGAAAATATTAGTCAATTGGAGAATAATCTTAAAAAGAATTTGATACAATATATTAAAATCAAGTTACATACGTACTAGGCAAGTGGAGTTGATATTCATATTACTGTATGAATCGTGTTAAAAACCAGAAAGGCACCCTTCTTTCTCTAGGGATAAAATTATATCAATGAAGTCGTTCTCATTGCTCATTGACTCATTTTCCTCAAATTTTCGACTTAGGGATGCTTTACAAGCCAACTTTAGAGGATGGAGTCGAGATCCTTGACAGTCCTCTTCATGGCCTTTCCATGCCCTTGAAAAAACACATCCAATAAGGTAAAAATCCCAATCAGATGAAAGAACAGGCTTATCGCCTTTTGACATCGCCTCGCCTCCATATCATCACACGCACTCACTGCTCCAAAATATCATTTTCCAGCAACCGTTCGAATAATTAAATTCAGCGTTCAATATTCATGTTAAGATTTGAGGTTCCATCTTAAAAGGTCCACCTTATTAAGATGAGTAGTCCAAACTCTTATAAATTAATCTGTATTTTCATCTTTATTCGATATGAGATTTTATCCCTTAACATGCACCCTCAAGAAGTGACTCATTTTTTAGCAAACCAGACTTAAAATCCGTATGCTCAAATTTTTTGAGTCGTAATCGGATCGAATTACTCGTTGGAGCTTAACAGACTCTTATACCATGTTAAGATTTGAGTTTTCATCTTAAAATATCAATATTATTAAGAGAAATAGCCAAAACTCTTACAAATTGATCTATACTTTCATCTTTATTCGATATGAGATTTTATCCCTTAACAATTCAAGCCAACCGTTAAGTTCAACAAGCACAAGACAAGAACAATTGTGTATACGTAATTTGAATAGCTTCCTAGCGTCCATGCCAATTTCAGAAACTTCAACATGCTTGAGCATTTCAATATGACGATTAAAAAGAAGCTAAAATGTAGCAATCTTTCTCATCTCACGCCAGAAATGGCTGTAGGGAGCAAACTCGAAAATAGCAAAATTGTAGCACATGTGCTTTGCATCAACACTCATGGGCTGACTCGCAAGAGCTTTGTTATCTACAGCGAAGCATTCTTTTATTACTTCCCAATTGCTCACCACAAAAGTTTGTTGACTACCAAGGCGTATATTGAATGATGGGGTAACTTCAAAAAAGGCCCGGTCAAAAGCCTCTAATTGCTTTTTGACTTTTTTCACAATTGAATAATTCAAAAGTGGCATATTTGAGTTCGAAAGACAAAAAAACTCTTAAGTGAATAAAATAATTACAAAATATGATTTGGTTAAAAAGACAATACTACCATTTCAGTTAACAAATAAAACTACTGTTACGAAAAAAACAATCGGCACAAACAGCCGAAAAAGTCGGCTGTTAACAGCTGAGGCTGTTTGAGTATTTTTATCACAACTTTTGTTTTCGATATCCGATTAAGACGATTTAACATACGTTGGAAAGATAACTCAAAGGGCTACAACTTTGATAGAAATAGATCTTTTTCAATTCGAACGTTTACTAGGCCAAAATTGGATTTCAATCTCCAACTAAAAATTTGGACATGCTTGTACGGTGGAAAATTGATTTTTGGGATACAGTGAAGATAGCTATCGAGGATAATGCTAATATTCCCGAGGCAATTGTTCTTCATCGTGACATCCCTGTGACGCACAAAATTCAATCGGTAGTTTAAGACAGTGATAACGTAAATGAATATACAAATGATGATTTAATTGCTTTATCCTATCAGAGACATTCAAATGGAGCTGATGATAATGCAAATGATTTAAAATTCTTTATTTAATAAAAGGAAATTAATAAAATTAAATAAAGAAAATAAATATTATGTAACAAAACTGAAAAAAGTAAAGATTTGTTTGCAGTTAATATTTAATTTAAGAGTTTTAAATGAAAAAATTAAAATGAAAAAAAAAAGAATTAGCTAATTCATTAAAAAATAATATTTCATTTTAGTAATTATCTATTTCAATTATATATATATATATATATACATTACTTCGAATGAGAAATGGTTCGATGAACAAGTTTAGAAATGAGATATTGCTACTCAATTTGTAAGCAGATTTCACAATGAACAACGGGAAATCAGCTGAAACATACTGTTAATGTGTAATGTGTTTTTACTTAAAAAACCAATGTAATTTGTTAAACAAACCACACCCAAAAGGGGGAGCCACATTGCCCCTTGGATGGCCAGGGCCCTCGTGGGACCTGGCTAAGCATCTTTATCCATGAAAAAATAGTGGAAAAAATTCTGATTAGCTTGTCGGAAAATTTTGATCTTCTTGTAGCTGTGATTGAAGAAAGAAAGGATTTAAAGAAGTTGGAAGTTTAAGAATTGATGGATTCTTTGAAAGCAATCGAGCAAACATTAAATCGACACTCCGAAAAGTTAATTGAGAATGCGTTTCAATTTAAGCTCAATGTTGGTTCTAAGAATGTTGAAACGCAAAAATATGGGGGTGAATACATGAATAGAGGTGGAAGAACTAGTGGAGGAAGGAGTCTAAGAGATCGAGGTAGAAACAACTTTGAAAGGAGTTTTAATGAAGGAGATTCATTACAAAGGTGTAAAATTTGCAAGAGAAGCAATCATGTTGAAAATGATTGTTAGTTCAAAGGGAATCTACAATACCACAATTGCAACAAGTTTAGGCATTTGAAAAAGCATTGTAGAGTGAAGAACAACCAACAAGCTAATTGTGCAATTGAGAAGGAAGGTAAATCAAGCATGTTTTATGCTTCTTTGAATGCAAAAGAATAAAAAAATGATTCATGCTTCTCAAGTTCGAATTGTTCCAAGCATCAAGAAACTTAATGATTTTTGGATAGTGGATGTACCAATCACATGACCTCAGATAAATTTATTGTTACATTTTTTTTATCGCAAGTGTACGATATCGTAACAAGTAATATAGTGGACCTTTGAGTCCGAATTATCGTTCCCACGAGTCCTATACTTTAGTCTTAACCTACTTTTCCTAACTTCTATTTGATAAAAGACAAACAAATAAATGATTGTGATAGTTGTGAATATTGATTTTATAAAATGAATTAAATGTCTAAAACAAATGAAAATTATGATGAAATAACAAACACAAATGGGTCAAAGATTCATGTATGTAAGATATATTAGGACAAAACNGGCGGAACAATTTCTCCTAATGATCGACTTAGTTATCAATTCAAGATTCTAGCTTTATGTAGTGTTCGGTAGAATTCTCCTACGATATTCAATTTACCCATCTCGAGTTCTCATTGAGCCTATTTAACTAATTCAATTTCATATCTCTATGCGAATTATTCTTAGTTAAATGAGTTATGGCACTAGGAATTCATATAACGACCACAGTACTAGGTATATGTATCTCTACACGTTATACTTTGTTATCGAATTTTATTACACGTTCTAAGTCTCAAAATCACCTCTCGATTCGTAAGAAACTCACATAATCATCAAATTATTGATCAAATAATTTAATGCATTTAACTCATAATAAAATCAACACATAAATAAATAAATCACATAAATCTTGAATAAAAAAATTAAAGATCACANCTACACGTTATACTTTGTTATCGAATTTTATTACACGTTCTAAGTCTCAAAATCACCTCTCGATTCGTAAGAAACTCAATGGATCATCAAATTATTGATCAAGTAATTCAATGCATTGCAATCATAATAAAATCAACACATGGAAGAATAAAACACAAAATTCTTGAATTAAAGAATTAAGGGTCTCAATAGATTACATTGTTTGCCCTAATGAGGAATTTAGCTAAATATGAAGAAAAAAATGAAATAAATAAACATATTCGAATACATCACCGAATTTAATTGATAAAAAAGATGGAAAAGAATCAACTCTTGCACCAAGATCTTCTTCCACTTCCAATCCTTAATTTGAACTCGAATCCTTGATGTATTTCTTCTCGAGAATTCCTCTTCGATCTTGTGTTTTCTCTCAATTTTACAAAGTGTGGAACCCACTTTTCAATGTGTGGGAACCCCCTTATTAGTGTCTCCTTAGGTCTATTTATAGTTTTTCACACGTCCTTGGCCAAATTGGAGTCTTTTTGTGGGCTTCTCGCGGCCCAAACAACAAAACCTAAAAATTTACGGCGCTGTAAATCTGTAAAATTTTGGAAAGTTCACTTTGCGCCTGTTTCAGTATTTTTGTCATAACTTTTTCTTCCGATATCCGATTAAAGCGTTTCGAAATGCATTGAAAATATAACTTAATGATCTACAATTTTGATATCTTTTCCAATTCGAACGTTTAATGGGATAAAAATGGGTCTCAATCTCCAACTAAATATTTGGACATTCTTGCGCAGTTGAAAATTGATTTGTTTTCGTTCATTTTGATCTTTAGTTGTATCCATTTGATCCTTAACATTCTCGAATTTTCATCGTGACCTTCGACACCGCTTTTGGATATTTTCACTTTAGCCTCCAAGCTTTGGATCTTTTTCACTTACATTCATTGAGTTTCACCTAATAACAAATTATATTTTTTTCTTTTTTTTTTTTTTCAATTTCACTTCCATTCATTGAGTTTCACCTAATAACAAATTATATAACAAATTAGGCTATAATTTCATTCAATGAATTACGAAATGTCAATATTTTGGAGCCCGAATAAGTGTATAAAATACACTTGTCAAACACCCCCAAATTTAAGCATTTGTTTGTCCTCAAACAAAACGACAACCTAACTTAACAAACCGACAACCTAACTTAACAAACATATAAACATGCAATACTACTTACCTAATTGGTGGCCAGTCAATCAAGTTAAGTAACAAGATTTTAGCTAGTTAACTTGGCTTTTTATTTTTGAATTGAAATCATAGTAACAAATCTATGCACGACTTCAAAATCACAATACAAAAATTAAAATTCACTTTTCCATTATAAAATCGACATGCGTGTGTGAAGAATTAAGCATAGTATTATGAATTTATAAGTTGTTTCGATTACCGACCCTCAACGGTCAAATATGTTCTTTCATCACTCGTAAGATTCACACACCCCAAAACTTATTATTTTCGCTCTTTTTCAGTGTGTGAGCTAATGTTGAATTTTCTACTATCCTCACCTCTTTAGTTTGACAAAATTTCACCAATTACAATTCAACATTTCAATAAATAAGGATTGTCCATTAAGTTTGATCGCTTTAATCTCTAGAACTTAACTAAGCTAACAATCTCTTATCAAAAGTCGAATTTTCTGAAACAAGTGTTTGAGACTTAACCAAGGCATTTGGTGCGTCTTCACCTGCTTTTTCTGATTTTTTTATATGAGTATTTTTTTTATTTGAAGC